TGGGGATTACCGCCCCGGTGTCCCCTGAAATCTGGTCGATACGTGGAGATTTTTGGGCCCGGATTTTCAGGTGCCCTTCCCCCTCCCTACTCGCCAGTTTTTGGTTCCCCGTCTAGTCAGGTTTTGTTGATTTTTGGGCGTCGTACTTGTTATTGCTATCCTGGGGGTTATAAACTACGGCACACGGGATGCCGGAAACGCTTCCGGAAGGGGCAGTAAACCTTGAACTCTTGCAAATATGACGGTACTCATCATTCGTACTATTTTGTACTGGTCCTGGAGCGCGCCTGCCTGTCTAGGCCTTTGAATTGAAGGGTTTGTTTTGCCTCTTTTTTGCTACTTAAACACATCTTTAAAGGTATTTCCAAGCACTGATTAAGCTTGCCGACTAATTTAAGGAGCAAAACTTCCTATAACGTGTTTATTTAGTTCGGCAGTCCAACGCCCAGGTTCGGCCAGAGGCAGGGGCGACGCCGTTCCGCGGCTGCGGGCGCGGAAAGCAACCGGAGCGAGCAGGTCTCGATGCGCGACGCGCTCACACGCTGCGGTCCCCCTTCCCCAAAGCTACCGGAGTTTATTAGGAGCGAGCCGGGAAGGGGTTAGCCAAGAATTGTCGTTATTTATAGCGTCTTGCTTTTTCTATATCTTTAAAGATTTCTGAGGTATTTAAAGGTAAGATGTTTTTGTAGCACAGTTTTTTGGCTCATGAAATGAAGCTTCTTTATTGATTCGATTTCATCGAAGGTTTTATGTTTATGTTTCCAAGAGGCTTCGAGATTTCAAAAATCACACGCTTCTAAAAAACACGACTTTGATTTCGATACTTTTCTCGAACATGCGATTTTTGTAGTCAAAGTTACATTTATGTTTTGGTATACCCACACCAGGCTGTCAGGAAACTGCTTTTAAGGCATCGGAGATACGCCATTAGGTGCGCAATATCCTCAAAAAATGTTTAAAAAATTGTTATTGTTGCTATCCAAACGGAAAAACGAAAAAATTTCCCTCCATTTGTTGGGAAAATTAGCATCTACGTTCAGTGGTTTTCAACATTAGTTTAGCACAATTTAATTAATTTTAGTCCACTTGAGTCTTTTTGGTAAGCTTTGCACAATCACTTTTAGGTGAAAAACGGGGCGTGGGCTGACAGTTCCGCTTTTCCTATATTTTTAAAGCTGCTTCCAAAAGATAGATCATATTATCGGCCAGATTAGAACTTGCACCTTCCGAGTAAATCCAACCGGCCGGATTATAAACAATTATTCCCTCGCCCACGCGCACAACTTATTATTTTGCTAAACCCCCGAGTCGATCAAATTTGACCCCCGGCCATTCAAAAAAGTTGCGAAAAAATGGGAAATTATGTGTGTGGGTTTTTTGGAAAAAACGGAGCGTTAAAAATGCCCTTTTTGCCCCCGCAAAAATAATTGACAGCCCAGGGCAGCGCTAATTTATTGGGGTATTGGCCGGGATTCAATTCAGACGGGCCGGGGCTGAATATGATTAACCCGGTGGCTAGGGGAGCTGTTTATAATGAGGAAGCCAGGGCCGCTATTTTTCAAACAACTTGTTTTAGACGGCGGCGTGTGATTTTAACTCGTGGTTTGGTCATACTTTGTGCGTTGGTGGTTGTCACGCTCGCTTACAATTCAAAAAAGTTCGCAACGTAGTTTCATTTCGATTTCAATTTGATGTTGTTGTTATTTTGTTGAATCCTTTCGGTTCCGAATGTTTAGAAGCGGGTGTTCCGACGTTTTCGGAAATTTTTTGGTGCTTTTATGTCTTTTTTGCTGTCACGCTGAGACTCTCCTGTCATGCTTTGAATTTTACTGCGATCCCAACACGCGAAGCAGCCAGCTTCGCGGCTACGCAGAGCAGTAGCCTCCGCGCTACGCAGCGCAGCAAGCTCAGCGAAGACACCGTAAAACACTCCGCACCACGCAAGGTGACCCGCTGCACCGCACACGCCCGCACCACGCAGGTCACCCCGCACACACGCACACGCCCGCACCACGCAAGGAGCACATCCGCGGTACACAGCAACACGCCCGCACCACGCAGGAGACAGCCGCGCTACAACGCACACGCTCCGCACCACGCAAGGTAGCACAGTCCGCGCTACACAGCGCAACACGCCCGCACCACGCAAGGTGCACAGCCGCGCTGCAAGCGAAACTCCCACCACGAAGGTAGCACTCCGCGTAAGAAACGCACCACGCAAGGTAGCACAGTCCGCGCTACACAGCGCAACACGCTCCGCACCACGCAACGCAGCACGATAGAGCCGCAACTCAGCACGTACCGCGCCGCGCAACGCAGCATTCGGCGCTAGTAAGTTTTATGGATATTCCATGGATTGACGGTTCCGCGGCATGCAACACCCACCTCTAACAACAATTATGAAGGACCAATGTCGAAGGTAATGATCAGGCGCATACGTTGCATGTCGCGCAGCAAAAACTAGGAAATGAGCCAAAACAAATATCGGACATTCTCGGACCTTTTAAAGAACCTGCCAGCTACGCAAAAATTTCTTTTTTTTTCCCTTTAAAATTGTTATAGCCCATACTAACTACATCTTCAAGCTTTTCAACCACATTTCTTCCGATTCTTGGGCCAACCTGAAATTTAGCAAAAACCTAACCACCAATTTCCCTTATTTGCAGCCCGGATGGCTCTATACTTACTCGCCGTAAATCCCTATATTCCATGAAAAAATTGACCCCTTTACTCCCCAATTGGGTTCTGATTTTTGAGCAGAATTCCCCGGCAATGAGCAAAATCCGCCCTGGAAGCCGGACTTTTTGGAAATTAAATTTTGAGAAACTCGTGATTTTTTGGGAGATTTGCCGAAATTTCGTATCATTGGATTAGTCGAGCTAAGTTTAAAAATAAGTTTTGTTGGAAAGTCTAGGAGTTTTGGTGTTTTATTTTCCACCCGCACCTGCCTGTTAGTAACAATTTGCGCTTATTCTTATGGCATTTTTTAATAGTTTTTAATTACTAGGAATTTATAAAAAATTTTAAAAGATTTACAGGGTGGCGATTAATTACCTGCGCGTCGCTTTTTCCCCAAAAATCAGGCATTAAATTTTTTTTGATAGAGTGGTTTTACTATATTGGTGGTTGTTTAGTTGCATCTTATCCAAATTTTAACCGGTTAGCAATCACGAAAACTACGAGCTAAGAAACATAAATTCCGGCTCACAACGCATCCTGATGCATGGTCACACTTTTGAAGCCTATGTAGCCATGGGAGGTAGCTAATCTTTTCCAAAACGGCTCAGATATGTTGCACGCTTCTTTTCAAACGTAGTAAGCGTTCGAAAACCGACCTAAGTCAAAAGATAAAAAAAAGATCCAGTATCGAGAACGACATCGGTCAAATGGAAATAAAAACCGCGCGTTCTTTCGGTATTTCGCGTGAATCTATCGGTACGATATGAAAAAATATGTACAATCCTTACAACAACCATATGCCAAATGTTCTTGGGTTCATAAGACTTTATCAGGAAACTAGAATCCAAAAATGCTAGAATTGCTGACGATTTTTGAGGGCGCCGCGGGCTGAATTGATGGCATCATTTTTGGCCCAGACCTTTCCCAAAATTCTTCAGAACCGGCCTCAAATTAACAATGCGACCTATAAAACCAATAAGAAGAGGGCTACATCAACGGAATTACACTTTCCCGAAAAATCAAAAAATTACCCCGCCCCCCCCCCCGCTAAGAGAGAAGTACCGTTTACGAAATCGAATCTGGTGACAAAATGCCATTTTGTATTTTTTCAATTCCCGTTTGGAAACGTACCGTTTCTTTCATTAAAGTACACCTTACGGATGACTAATTTCCGATTGAAAGCAGAAAAGACATTTCACATGGCCAGTCTGTTTTCCCTAAAATCACTCCCCCTGCCCCCGGTTTCGCAGGCCATTGGCACCTAGCCAAACGGCTATTTCTCAGTCTGTTTCTAGCGATTTGTGGGTGGGGATGGGGAGGAAGAAGTCCATTAGCTGTTTCTCACCTCCCTCGCACTGTATATATTTTCTATCAGAAGCTCTATGTGAGAGAAAGAAGCGGGAGACGGAGGCTAAAAGTGCTCGTTGTGGGCCCCCGTCAAAATATTTGAAGCGATTGGGTTTGGCTTGGGGGTGTTTCTTGAAAAGAAGTGTATAACTTCAGCGGGGCGGTTTTTCTGGCTATTTTGGGCTTGGCTTTGGCTCGCTATGCTCCAGAAATCGACACTGTAATTTTGGATTTCTGTCTAATTCACGCATTAATGAGATCCGTAAAGATCGGCTTAATAAATTCGGCTAGGCTTTACTCGTCTATGTTACCAATTCGGCCTTTCAATCCCCTTTAATAAAAATATCAGGATAGGAAACTAACGAAAATGACAATTTTTTTATGCTTTTGGAGACGTAAATTATGAGTTCTTTCGTTTAAGCATTAATACCACCCTTGCAAAATCCAGTCGTAAACCTCTTTGTCACATTTATTGACGCAAGCAATGACTGCTATTTTTGATTGAAATCATCGTCTTTTGTCATCTTTCCACACGGCCAATGGTCACCATGAAAACAAGGGACCTGCACCTAACCCGGGGCTTTTGAATAGCTATTAATAGCGGGTGGGGGCTGGCTCCTTTCTCATATATACCTAGGGAAACAATGCTAATGTTTTTGTTTCGATACCTCTTTATCTTATCGTACCATATTTTTTATTCTCTATTTCTCTATATTCTCTATCCTTCGCGCTCTCTCTCTCTCTCTCTCTCTCTCTCTCTTCCTCTTTCGTCACCGCCCTATCTTCCCTCGCTTATCACTTCTCTCCCTCCCCTCTCTCTCTCGCTCTCTCTCTCTCCCACTCTCTCTCTCCGCTCTATCTCTCTTTCTCTCTCTATCTCTCTTTCTCTATCTCTCTGTATATGCTTTCTCTTAATTTAAAAGTGCTATAATCACAATATTTTTTTCCAGAATCCAACCATCCCACCAATCGTGATGGCTGGTCTCCTACCTCCACTACAGAACGTCGGCCCTCCGTTGGACGTAAGTACTTAGGTGTACATAGGTGTACGGTGTAGTCGAAACCGTCATAGCCGCAGTTTTTTGAGCCCTATTTTGTTCCGATGCCTTTCGCTATGACCTCCGGGGGGCAGGACACAGGTGAAAGTTAATAAAAGACACAAAACTTAAAACCCGAACTAACTGCCAATTACGTTCTTGGCATCCGAGTTCGGCGCTTTTTTTTAGTGCAGCGACACAAGTTTTAGTTATAGTAGTATCGTATAGTGCCTTTGTGTTTTGCGTACCCACGTGGCCAGGTGTAAATTGGAATTGGGAATGCAAAAATAATTGAATTCGTGGTACCGAGCCAGGGTTCAGTTGGTTTTTAGGGGTGGAAAATGTACGCTTATTACTGGGGAGAGTCAAAAGGCGATCGTGGTAGGCATAGGGTAGGTATTTATTTTTAAATTTCCTTTTGGAAACATCAACTTTCGCAAATTCCATGTAAGTCTCCGCTCATTGTCCTTTTTCGCTAGTGGAATACCCAAAGAGGCTCTGCTAGGTTTCTTCTCTCTCTCACTCTCTGCCACTCTGTCTCTCTCGCTTTCTCTCTCACCCATAGAGTGATTTTGTTTTCTAATATCTTTTTCCATCCACTCGTCATTCTACTTCCGGCCCATGTTCGGGTATTCGTGTGATTAAGGGCAGGTGGAATATTGTACGAAAAAGACGGTGATCTGGTCGCCTTTTGGCTCGAGAATATTCATCTACTCGGCGTCAGAGTCGGTTTCTCTAACCGACTGAAACTTTTTTAATAACATTCTGCAGGCTCGCCAAGGTCATTCGCATTCCGAAAACGGCCAGGCGTCTAAAAATTCATATTCAGTTGTGGGGTTTAATATGCAGGAGGAAGCTATGAATATGCTTTTTTTATTAAAGAAGTATTCTTCCTGTTTTTCTAAAGCTTATTAGGTATATAAGACTTTTCAAACTTGCAGAATTTTTTGAGAAAGTTAATTTTTCCGCCAGGGCTTTGGCTAAATCAATTATAGAAAAATGAATGTACTTATTGAATCAATGCCCTGTTTTGTTAAACCATTATAAAAACAAATTTATCACGCTTTACAACTGTCTACGGTATTTTTAAATACACGTAATGTATTTATGAATGAAATTACATGCCCTCGGTTCTCTTGAGAATAGCTGATTGCCGTTTTTAGAATTTTACGCCTCCTTAAAAACATCGTAAAAAAGGATTAAATGATATCATCTGCTCAGTTACTAATAATTCTTGGAATTTCGGTAATAGAGTGACCTTTTAGTGTATATTAAATTTTTTTACTTATTAACTTTTTCACGGCCCTAATGCGTTTTAAATAAAGCCTTTAAAACCCAAAAATTCCAAAAATTTTAAGGGCCCCTCCCAACTAGAATTGTCAAAATAAGTTCAAATCTCATTTTTCAGTTATTTATCCAATCCTGATCCCCCACCGTACATCAGTATCTGGCCCCGCCAATTTTTTTGATTAGAAAGTATTCCTGTCCCGGGCGTTTTTTGAAGCATTCGTACTCCCCGGTCTCGGGTGAAGCCCAACAAAAAATTTCGGCAGCACTGCCAGATTAGACAAAACCGGAAAAACGTTATTTTGGTTATGGTGGTAGACCAGAAATCCCGGTGAAAACACTTCCATTTCCAGGCGACGATCCGTGTCAAGCAGGAAGTGCAGTGTTTTGAAGGTATCTTAAAAGTCTTACTTTTTAAACGAATTTTCTACCCTTAGACGAGCGCCCGATGTCGAATGGGAGTGAAAACAGTTTGGAGCAGCAGATGAATGGCAAGAATAAGAAGGCAAGCTGGGCATCGGAGAAGCCTGAATAACCCCGTTCGCGCTATTTTACGTCACCTGATGTCTACGTTGCTTGCGTAACGTCGCGATGCGTTGCCTGACGTAGCGTAGCGTGGCGCTGCTTACTTAGCGCAGCGTTACGTTGGCTCACGTTGCTTGCGTAGCGCTGGTTTGTGTAGGGTTGCGTTACCTTGTTTGCATTGTGTTACGTAGCATAGTGTGGCGTCGCGTTCCATTACGCTGCGCTACGTTACGTTACGCCTATCGGGGCTTCTAGAACGTACCTCTTTTCAGCCAAAAGACCGCATCCGACGCCCGATGAACGCGTTCATGATTTTCTCCAAGCGGCATCGACCGATGGTCCATATGAAGTACCCGAATAAGGATAACAGGACGGTTTCGAAGATTCTGGGAGAATGGTGGTACGCGCTGCCACCGGAGGTATGTTAAAGACAATACCCTAAGGCCCAAAAACAACTTTCTAAACTTATTTTTGTAAATTGGCTTAACCCCACTTTATAGGAAAAGCAAACCTACCATAAAATGGCCACGGAGGTCAAGGAGCAGCACTTTAAGGTACCACTTTGATCACTTTCAGACCCTTCGAATCTGAAATCCACCAAAATTATAAATTTTCCAGGCCCACCCGGACTGGAAGTGGTGCACGAAGGATAAGCGGAAGGATGGGATGGACTCTAACACTCCTCCAAATTCGGTCCTACCTCCTCCTCCTCAACCCCAACCTCAACCTCAGCCACCAGCACCAGTTCAACAGTAAGTTTTTTTGATCGTATAAAACCTTTCCCACCCTCTAAAAACTTCAAAAAGCAAAGTCTCTAGCTTTTTTTGCCAAAATTTTACAGCGTTTCCGGTCTTCAGAGACATCAAGCCGTTCCCGATGCCAATCTCGCAACAATTTGCCCCACCGCAGCCGCCGGTTAGTCGCCAGAATCCGACTCCACCGACACTGAATTTCACGCATCGGCCTGCGCCTCAATTCCACCGTCCTGCTCCTGTCACTTCGCTACAGCAGCCGATGCCTCCAATTCTGCAGGTATTCTTGCACCTCTGCATTGTCAGGATCTCTCTCTCTCTCTCTCTCTCTCTCTCTCTCTCTCTCTCTCGTAAGCGTGTCTACCAAACTAGGCTAGTCGTATCATATCAACTACAATCCTCCAAAACTTCTAGCGTTTTTCAGTCCTTCCAGATGCCCCAGGCCTGCCAGCCGCCACCTTGCACAAGACCTCAATCCGATCGGCTGGCCCGTCTTTTTGTGGAAGGTCTCGATCCGCATACATTGAGCCCGTTGACACCGGTAAACCTTCAAGTTATTCTCGTTGAAATATATTTTCTGAATGATCTTTAACGATCTTATTATTTAGACAACCCGCTCCTCGTTCTTCAGCCTTGCCGGCAATGAGGTTCCAGTCGAGTCTCAAATCCTCTCCCCATCCTTCAAGCACTTCCCTATTTTGCTGCCGACGAATAGGTAAGGGTTTCAAGGCCAAATGGAAGTTCAAAATTAACAGTGAAAGGTTGATAATTCATATATAATTTTAATTTTCAGTATTCCCTGCTCTCCCCTGTTTCAAACGGCTGACTTCAACTTCTTGATGAAAACTATTGCGACGAGTCAGCAACAAACGGTGACGACACAGGTTGGTAGAGACCGAGAGACAGAAAGAGTTAGAGAGAGGGAGGGGGGGGGGGGGGAAGGAGAGAGGGGGGGGGGGGGGGGGGGGGGGGGGGGGGGGGAGGGGGGGGGAGGGGGGGGGGGGGAGAGGGGGGGGGGGGGGGGGTACAGAGCGAGAGAGAGAGAGAGAGAGAGAGAGAGACAGGCGCGAGGGGGGGGGCGGAACTCAAAAAGTTCAATTTTAAGTACGGGCACGTTTCTTTTCATGACCGATTATTTTAGATAGAGTTACTGTAGAGGATACGGTAGAATTTACCATTTTTAGGTCTTCCCCCAATCGATCCCGGCACCCCCAACGGTAGTCTCGGTTGCTCCAGGAGCTGCCCGTCCTCCACCACTTCCAACATTATCATCGCTCCAGCCTCCAATATCTCCGCTTACTACTGCTATCATGTCGCCATCATTTGCATTCAGCGGATCGGCATTCACCCCCCATTACTCGACAAAGGATAAGCTGTTGTCGCCTTTTATGGTGGGTTTTATGGAAATTAATTTTGAATGCGGTGTTTTGAAAAAACAAAGGGAGAGAGAGAGAGAGAGAGAGGGAGAGGAGAGAGAGAGAGGGGGGGGGGGGGGAATGAAAAAGGGGGAAGAGGGGGGGGGGGGGGGGAAAAGGAAGGAGAGAGGGAGAAAAGAGAGAGAGGAAGAGAGAGAAAAAGAGAAAGGGAGAGAAGAGAAAAAGAGCGAGAGAGAGAGCGAGTGAGAGAACCGAGTGAGTAAGAGCTCTGCTAAAAACGGTCCCCTCAACCACTAAATGATTTCCTGTTTTTCAGCACGCCACCTTCCAACTGCCGCTCCCTGCTGATGCTCGTGCAAACCCATTCCAACCGCTTCCAACGCATCCCGCCGAAAAAGACGATAATATCCACCGCCCGACACCATTAGGTAATTTGTGACCTAGAGCTTGAGATGCCTTAAAAATGCTTATAAGAGACTTTAAGCATAAAAACCTATAGAAATCTGCGAACGTTAGAAACCCTCACTTTCAGAACTCTTCCTTTCAGCCCCAGCCTCGCCCCGTTGGCCAACTACCGCATTGGCTAGTCCTCTTCTGGGAGTACCTTTCAGTCCTCTTGACCTATTGGCGGGTACCTTACCGATGGCCAGTCAAATGCTGTAAGTTCCGGAAAATCCTAAGGCATTATTGGACTACCGTACCACCGAGATCCGAAGATTTTTCAGGCGAAATACGGAAGAACCGGCACCGTTTGTCCTGGCTCCGACTCCAGCTCAACTCGGACGAGCTCGAGGCCAGAAACGATTGTCGAGCTCGATGTCACAGGATTTGGATGGGAAGACGGATGGAGAGGGAATGGATGATGAGCCCGCTTCGGTCGTGGAGTCGATTCCGGATACGCCGAGCTTTCCGTTGAGTACACCGGTTGCGTTGAAGCCGTCGATTACGCTGAATGATTCGCAGGTAGGGCAGGGGAGAGAGAGAGAGAGGAGAGAGAGAGAGAGAGAGAGAGAGAGAGAGAGGTGGAGGAGGAAGAGTGAGCGAGATCGAGAGGCAGAGAAATCAGTTAAAATTCTTTTTTAGGAAGCCATCGACGTCGAGACGCTATCCTCGGGAAATGCCTCCACTTCGGGAAGTACTGCTACCGGAAACAGCTTCTTTGCCCAGGCCGACAACGAGATCAACAAGTATACAAAATTTTCAGCAGCTGAATATCTGCTTTTTAGGGCCCTAAACAAGGTGGCCTACCAGGATAAATTCACCAATGTTCCATTTGCGGTATGTTTTGAATTTTGTAAATGCCATACCTTTTTTAATGTTATCCCAATATTTTTGACTTCACGTAACGCGAAGTTACGCTACGGTACACTACTTTGCGATACGTTCCGTTCAGATGCCCGTTACAACGTGCCCTTCCACGCCCTCATTTTTGGTGCAATCCTTCCTGGACTCGACGTACAGCCAATGCAGCACTACGACGTCTACGCCGACGGCCAAGTCGCCGGCTTCGGCGGCTTTGACTACACAGGTTTGGTCTTGAAATCATTAAAGATCCATGGATCATATTCGGTATACTTTTATTACACTTTATCTTTAGAACCCGGTGTTCTTCCCGCCAAATTTCGACATGCCCGAAGCCCCGCCAAAGCCTCATGTTATGCAAAAGTCGAATTCGGTGGGTTTTTAGATGGCGTTTCTGGCTCAGAGTGTTTATTAATGCGCTAAATAAAGTGATAGTTGTATCAACAATTTTTAGAACACCTCCCTAACCGATGACAGCTCCAACGGAAATCCAGTAGAAAAAGTGTCAAGCCGAAAGCTTTTGGAACAACGTCGTCAACTTGTCATGACGCTGCTGGAAACGGCTGGGCTATTTCCGAGTGGTAAGTCCAAAAAGGAAAGGGGAACTAGCGGAGATTCTTTGAGACACCAGGCTTGGCACCATGGCTTTTCTGAAACCCTGAAAGTTCTGAATTTTTAGGCCACGAGATCAACGTCTTCCAACAGACCCACAAGGCCATCTTCCCGAACAAGCAGACATTGATACTGAAGATTCGCGAGGTTCGCCAGAAGACAATGTCCATGCATAATGGGACGTTCCCGAAGAGTGGTGGGTTTTGATTGGATTTGTGCAACCTATAGATGGTAACGGTCCAGAAAAAAGGTGCATTGCACGAACGACACCAGCTATCGCGCTGTGTTTCAAGCTTTCAAGCTTTTACCTGTGTTTTGCGGAGCAAATCTTAGAATGAAAGAACCTGCTTAGGTATAGGCAGTTTTCGGGCGTCAAAATCGATAAAATCCAACCCCAAAGTTACAGGTGTAATTTGGCGCGTCGTGTAGTTGTCGATTGCCAGTCGCTGTAGGGGTCGATTCTAATACAGGCAAAGGCCCAACAAGACAAGAAAACGATACGTATTTTGTTTGTAATGGGAGTCAGCCAGCTATTTCACTGCGTAAAGGATCGCGACTGCGCGCGTTGCGGGGTGGCGTCGCGGCAAAAAAATACTTCATGGATCCAGCGTGTCAGTTGCAGGCTTTAGAGAGACTACCAGTCGCAACGCGACCGCATCGCACGTAGAAGCCTTTTAAACTTAGGAGGGGGGGTCCCACTACCCTAGGGGGGGGGCCCCCCCCCCCCCCCCCCGGGGGGGGTCTTTTTTTTCTTTTTTGGGGGGGGGGCCCCCCCCCCCCCTTTGGGTGGGTTGGGGGTGGTTTTTTCCCCCCCCCGGGGGGGGGGGGGGGGGGGGGGCCCCCGCCGCGGGCCCCTTTAAGTCTACTTGCAAACTTTTTTTTGAAAGATTTTTGGCTAATTTCTCCATTTTCAGAAGTCAAAGCCGAGCCGCTGGCTGCTTAAGAAGTCTTCCCTCGTCAACTAGCAGTGATTCTTTTGAGAGCATCAATCTCTTATGTTTCTCAAAAACGTTATCCTGTATCAGGGTTTTTAACAAGTAAAAAAACACCCACATATCCACTCCCCAATCGACTTTCAAACCCTTGTGCAAAATTCTCTCGATTCTAGTCCCCCAAAAATTTCATGTGAGTTCAAGAATGTGATGAAATAAAATTTTTATGTGGTAGCTTTAGGCAATCTGGTCTGATTTTTGTGTATTTTTGCTTATATTTTTTGTTTCTCTGCGTCTTATTACTGGAAAAATATTTTTTTGCTCCTCCTCTCAATGTTGCCCACCACCGAAAATACATGGTCCTCCACTATCCTAATTTATTAACATGTATGCACCCTGTTTTTGTATCTGAAAATTGAAATATATGTTGAGACCGATAAATTTTTTTATGTTTTTGGATTCACGCAGAAATGACAACTAGCAGACATCATTGGGGACTCGAATTCGCTTTTAATTTGGAGATCTAGATGACGATTTTCAGCCTAGGCAACAGGCAGAGACTGTTTAGGATTTGTATCTTGTCTGGCTATGGAGTAGCAACTAGCAGAGATTCTTTAGGATTTAAGGTTCTGGCAGCATAGCCACTAGCAACTAGCGGAGATGCATCAGGGTTTTTGGATTTTTTGAGCCGTGGCATTTAGCAGAGAAAATTTGGCGGTATGTTTTTGGGCGAAACGAGCAACTGGCAGAGATTCTTTGGCATTTGCACCTTGGTTGGCGATAACCCGGTAAACTAGCAGGGATGCTCTATTCACATTGGGTTTCAAAGCAGGGCACCTAGCAGAAATCATTCGGGAAATTCCGAAGGTAAAGGTTGTGGTACAGGTTTGGAACGGGCAAAAATGCAGAGGAAAATCCCTGGGCTCCAGGAGTTGCGCCTAATAGATAACCAGCAGAGATCCTTGAGGCTTCGAAGAGAGAAGCAGGGTTAGACGCAACTAGCGTAGATTATTTTGGGTCAAAATCTGTGTAGAACAAGTGCCGAGCAAGGATTATTGCGGAATCTAAAAGTTTTCTTCAGCGAGGCCTAAGGGTCGTAGGCCAAAAAAGGCTAGCAGAAATTCTTTGGGAACTGCGCCTCCCCAGAATTTTCCTCGCTAACATATCATTACCAATATCCCCGGCTTTTCGCAGGTTTCATCCAGCTCTCACCGAATGCTCGTGCTCCTTTTTTGGGGGTAACCGGGGCATGGCGCGCGAAGCTCCGCCCACCCACCGGGTTTCAAGCTTCCACCGAGCGGCTCTTTTGGCACTCCCATACGAAAATGTTAGCATTATTTATTTTCTTGTTGCCGCTGGTCAATACGGAATTGACCTCATACAATAAGCAGCTGGAATGGATTGCCGGGCATTGGAGGAGCGAATTTTCGGGGAAGGTGAGGGTTTTTTGCGGATTTTTTAGAGGATTCCTAGTGTTTCAAATCAGGCAAGCTAGCAGAGATTATTTGAGACAGCTCACAAAATTTTAGAGCGCCGAATCCGTAAAAATTGGGCAGACTAGTAGTTATCATTGGGGGGATAGTTACCTTTTTCTCTCGTCGATATGCAAAATTCAGGAAAAAGTCTTTTTTGGAAAGTTTTTTTGCGTATTTAAGGTTTAATTTTGGGATTTTTTTTAATACATTAAACCATTTTTACAGGTTTTCTGGCCCACCGTACCCACGATGACGTTTGGTGAAGAACTGAAAATCATGGAGGCGCCATTAGCGAAGAGCGCCAATGTGCAGTTCCTCAATTTCTCGTGAGTTTCTTTGAGAATTTTACAGCCTTATTACTACCGTTTAATTGGTTTTCGATTTTGCTAACCATTTTCTGCCTCATTCTTTTTACTTCCCCCTCATCACATTTCACTTTCCATATATGATAGTGCCTTTTTGATGCGACAGGCCGCACGAGTGGAACCCGGAAGAAAAGTGAAAAAAAAAACCCAGAGAGCATGATAAGAGAAAGCGATTGTTAATGCTACACTTCTGGACCTTTTCAAGCATTTCTAAGTTAAATAAGCCGTTTTTGACCATTGGTTAGGCCTGGAAATAATATAAAGTGGTGCCTCCTGAAAAATTGGCGTGAAATACCGAATTCATAGCGGTTTCCTCGTCTGTCCATGTGTTTTTTTTAATTAACACGGTTTTTCCTGTCTATAACTGGTTTTGACAATTGCCGGATGTTCCAAATCATTTATTTCATCATTCGATATTATTCTACCGTTCTGTCCCTGAGTAATCGATATCTAATGTCGTGTAGTGTCGCGTCGACCCGGGAGGAAACGGGTTCCATGCTTTTTCCTCATCCACACAACCCCTAGAGGGGGAAGGGAGGATGGAGCTGCCTAGGCTGTGTTGTCCGCGCCATTGCTTTTTACGCCCACGCGTACCCGATCCCCCTCACTGTTCCACAACCATTGCCCCCGATGGCAAATTGGGAGGTGGTGTTGGAATGGAAAAGATACGATGATAATTCTGGGGGCAGGAAATGGAATGTTTTAAAGGGTCTCACAGTCAGTGGCAGCTAGTTCCGGATGTTGTAGAGAATTTTCCTAAACGCTCTTTGCTCGATAATCGGTCGTACTTTTTTTGGGCACTAATAACGGCTTCAAGGGAGTTTACAAATCAATAGGGTTTCATTTCTGAGAATTTTCCTAAATGATACTGGCTAGGAACAGAACCAATAGGTACTAGTGAGCTACCTTCCTTAACCTTCACCCAAAAAAGCTTGTTACAGCTCGAGAACTGTAGGCAAAATTGTAAATATAAATATTTTAACTTAACCGTAAACGCATCTAACGTGAATTTTAACGTTTCTGCATTGATAAACTTCTTTAAGGGGCGGGAAAGGCCAGGAATCGACCCATCTATCGACTAGATCTAGCCAACTATGTGATGCACCAAAAGGCGTTTTCAAGCTTATTTTACAACCTCGAGGGCAGGAATTTGTCACTGACTGAACGTGAAAAATTCCAAACGCATCTTTTGGTGCAATACGTAGTTGTCGGAACCTAATTGACTGGAGGTCGAATCATACGCTTTCAAGTGTCTTTAACAGCCAATAAATCTTTTCACTTTATTTTTAGAGCCCGAGCCTGGTCCCACTCCACCAAGGATCACTTCCACGATGAGTGGGGTTTCGTCACGGCCGATCCCTCTGGAAATGTGACGCTCATGACTTCAGGAAATAACGGTATGGTAGAAACATCTTAACCACGTTAAAAAGCGTCAAGCTGATACGGAAAGCCATTTAATATACCTTTAGGCTTCACAACCTATGAAGTCGGACACGTTTCCCACAATCGATTGGTGCTGACGCTGAAGGATATTGGGCGGATATCCTTTTCAAGGGATTTGCCGGTGGAGGATGTGAGTTTCTGCATCTCTCTCACTCTCTCTCCCTCTCTCTCTCTCTCTCTCTCTCTCTGTCCCTGACCCTTTAAAATCAACATTTTTTTCTAGCTCCGACGTACTTTCGTGCGCCACGACGATCGATACCTCGAGCAGGTTATCGAAATGAGAACCGCTACCCATCCAAAGGTAAGCTTTTAATAGAAAAAAAATGTAATTACGGTAGAATAATGTGTATCCATCAAAAAGAACAGTAAATTAAATATATTTTTTCAGCAAGGATACTTGGAGCACACGCGGGTCGTCTACACCAAAATGGATTGAAGAACCAGAGGGAGATTTTCGATTTAAAAAATTTTAACTTGACGTTTACTACCACGGGAATAAACGGATATGTACAAAAAGGTGTACAAAATGCACCGTAATGCGGAAAGAAGATCAAAAAGCGAATATATGGATGTTACTGGTCTTCCAGCAACTTCCGCTCCTCTCGCGCTCCATTACACAGCTTGTTGATCTGCTCGACTTGGCGTTTGATCTGGAAATATAAGATTTTGATGCGAATTTAGCAATTTTAAAGACCGTCAGAACGATCAAAATTTCGTTAAAAGCAAGAAATAGCGCGCCGGGCGGGGGTCGAACACGCGATGGTTCGCTCCAGAGTCCGACGCGCTAGCCACTATACCACAGGGCCGAGTGGAGAAGGAAGTCAGAGACGCCCCAAACCCCAGAGGGCCTTTGCCCAGTACGGGGCGCAACTAATGACGCTTCTCTCTGCGCGTTCCTGGGGGCAGCACCCTCGGGGTGACAGTGTGCGTTCAAGAGTTCTAGCAGTCTTTAAGGCGTTGCGTTGCGTGTCGCGGTACGGAAAGATTTCTAGAAAAACCATAGCAAATAAATACATGGTAATGCTTGTTCTGTCCCCTTAAAAATAGCGTAAGAACCCGCCTCATTCCAGTCCTCTTTTGCCAGCCCTGTTGGTCCACAGAATTTCGCTTCCTTGGCTGCTTCTTCGCAAATCTGAAGAGTCGGATTTACCAGAGCTTTAAGTGTTCATTGTTTATCTGAGTTATGTGAAAAATAAAATTAAGTTACGCTAAGGTAGCATAAATCCTAGGACAGTCGCAATTAACAGTCATTAGCTAGGAACTTACATTCAAAGAGTCCTCGTCCACCACATCTAAGTAACTTTTACCGAGCTTGGCAAATCCGAGGTAGATCTGAATTTTCAGCTGTTTTGCTTTCAAAAGTGAAGCTTGCCTCTAACCTTTCCAGGTTATTCTTCTCTTTGTAGGTTTTCCGGAGGGTTTTGAAGAGCTCGAGGTACATTTCCTAAAATAAAGCATGGAAACATGATTATGAAGCCGAAATTTGCCCTGTTTAAATTTTTCAACCTGTATATGTTGCCAAAAAGGATAACAGTATGTAAATTAACCTATTAAAAGCTTCATAAAAACCCTAAAAGGTGAAGAAAAACTTCTACCTACCTTTGCCCTGCACCACACATTTTCCCGTTCTTCCTCTCTGGCTGATCGGTTAATTTTCGAAAAACAATCGTAAATCCCGTCAGAATACGCAACAGCTGCACGAGGTTCTTTTCTAAAAATGGAAGT